CAAAAGCCTACCATCCATGGATTCTGTCAGTGTTTTGATCTGTTCACCATCAACATTGCGTGCAGCAGCAACCACAACCTCCCAGACACTGTTCAGAGAGGTGTACTGTTTTCCCTCCTTGTAAATCTCACATTTGATGATGGACCACAGGTTCTCAATGGGGTTCAGATCAGGTGAACAAGGAGGCCATGTCATTAGATTTTCTTCTTTTATACCCTTTCTTGCCAGCCACGCTGTGGAGTACTTGGACGCGTGTGATGGAGCATTGTCCTGCATGAAAATCATGTTTTTCTTGAAGGATGAAGACTTCTTCCTGTACCACTGCTTGAAGAAGGTGTCTTCCAGGAACTAGCAGTAGGACTGGGAGTTGAGCTTGACTCCATCCTCAACCCGAAAAGGCCCCACAAGCTCATCTTTGATGATACCAGCCCAAACCAGTACTCCACCTCCACCTTGCTGGCGTCTGAGTCGGACTGGAGCTCTCTGCCCTTTTCCAATCCAGCCACGGGCCCATCCATCTGGCCCATCAAGACTCACTCTCATTTCATCAGTCCATAAAACCTTAGAAAAATCAGTCTTGAGATATTTCTTGGCCCAGTCTTGACGTTTCAGCTTGTGTGTCTTGTTCAGTGGTGGTCGTCTTTCAGCCTTTCTTACCTTGGCCATGTCTCTGAGTATTGCACACCTTGTGCTTTTGGGCACTCAGTGATGTTGCAGCTCTGAAATATGGCCAAACTGGTGGCAAGTGGCATCGTGGCAGCTGCACGCTTGACTTTTCTCAGTTCATGGGCAGTTATTTTGCGCCTTGGTTTTTCCACACGCTTCTTGTGACCCTGTTGACTATTTTGAATGAAACGCTTGATTGTTCGATGATCACGCTTCAGAAGCTTTGCAATTTTGAGTGCTGCATCCCTCTGCAAGATATCTCACTATTTTTGACTTTTCTGAGCCTGTCAAGTCCTTCTTTTGACCCATTTTGCCAAAGGAAAGGAAGTTGCCTAATAATTATGCACACCTGATATAGGGTGTTGATGTCATTAGACCACACCCCTTCTCATTACAGAGATCCACATCACCTAATATGCTTAATTGGTAGTAGGCTTTCGAGCCTATACAGCTTGGAGTAAGACAACATTCATAAAGAGGATGATGTGGTCAAAATACTCATTTGCCTAATAATTCTGCACTCCCTGTAGTCAGTCACTACAGGCTTTTTTCTGTAAACACTGTATTTTCAGAGAAAATGCAGTGTTTACATTACAGCCTAGAGACACCTCCAGTTACCACTCCACAGATGGCTACTAGAGGTGCTTCCTGGGGAGTTCATCACTTCTGATGCTGTCAGCCAAGGAGGCAAATCAGGGGCAGAGCCAGCACCAGCAGACTGGAATAAAGATAAGATTTTGCTATATTAGGGGTGGGGGGCAAAAGGGAGGCCCATGAGGGATAGTGTTTTTAACACTATAGGGTCAGGAATACATGTTTGTGTTCCAGACCTTATAAAGCTCCATATAAAGCTAACATAACAATTACAGTGAGCGGTCCTGGTTTTGTTGCTGAGTGTTCCTTTAAATATATTTATATTATTCTCTCCTGCATGGATGGATTAATGGATTTTTTTTTCAGAATACAGGTATTATCTGAAAAACCTTTTTCTAGAGAATTTAGAATTGCAGCAAACAACCTTATCAATATTACTCAGAAATAGACAATGTAAAAAGGTAAAATAAAAATAAATGATAAAAGTAATACTTATTAGCTCAATCTTAGCTGGTTGATGAGTTTATATGACCACCACTGCCTCTTTATAGTGAATTTAAAGGAAATGTGTCTAAGCCGCTATATATAAGATTTACATTTATTTACTTAATGCATCTGTTGATATATTATATTATAATGCTGAGGTACACATATCTCCAAAATTAGAGAAAAAAAAAAACTACAAAGATGGCTGACCTAAATAGATGCAAGCAGATGCATCGGCCATCTTGGAGTGGGATGGCATACACAACCTTATGGTGAGTTTATCTTTCAATCTTTATATCTGTTGATGATTGATGACCAGTGCAATGTATTAATACATGAAGCTCACATTGCCATCTACTTGTTTTAGTAAAGCAAAGTACATTTAAAGTAGAGTATTTCTAAAACAGTCAGTCTAATATTTTGCTCACATTTCGCTCACATTTTGTAGCCGGATCTCTTGGGTATCAGAAGACACAAGGACGCTCCTGACACAGGTCATTGGAAAAGCAAAAGATTGTTTATTTTGCAGCTGCAAAAGTCCCAGCACCTCTATCAGAAACACGATGTACTGAGTATCGAACACATGAGAGAACAAATAACATATACTGTAACTGACGTATTCCACACGTATACAGATAATTCAAACTTACACCCATTTTACAATGATTATATCCAATTATTAAGCAAATACTTATCTCTTACTATGCTAACTAAGGGTAGGCGTTCCTGACATTCCACACATGTGCCCTGGTCCGAGAAGTTTACACAGTAGTTTTAACCATGAGTAGCTTCTACTATTATTTCACATAGTGTATATGAACCTAGGACCATATTTCCCTTCGTACAAAGCATACATGTTTGTTCTGCTGTCCCCATTGAGCATATTGCTGCCTATACTTGATTCATACAGTCAAATAAACTTATAGGTCAGGATCTAAATGCCTACACATTCAAATACACTTAAAGGTCAGGATGTAAATGCCTATAAATCCCAATTTGTGCAAATATGCTTATATGTCAGAATCTATAGCTCTATGCATTCCAATATGTGCATATACACATCATAATATATAAATCAATTGATGAAACAAAACACACTTTTTTATCAGAGTATGGTGATTTTTATTAATAAAATAATAAAAACAGGTATGTCTACAGAAGTGATAATTGCTCTAAACACCAGTGAGGTATCCCCTACACCTTCACATAAAATGACATATAACACACAGAAAATAAGTGGAGCAAGTGATGATAATAAAATAAGAATGCACTTCCCTCTCTTCTAACTTTCTCACTGTAAAAGATAGAGAGGTACAAGATAGTGCAGATATTTCTATACACAGAATATAAATAAAATATAAATCATATGCACTCACAATGGAAGAGCCATATAATAAAACCTGGCTCTGGTGTGGATCTCCTTTAGGATCTTAATTGGGTGATCCCCAAACCTCTTTAGTGGTACTTGTTGGAAAATGTCTTCCTTCTCTTCCAATGATAGGCAATGGAGATAAAATATATTCCAGATAAAAAATATTTATTCAAAAATTAAAATGGATATAATTAGTGTAAATACAAAAGGTAAAACCTCCTAATGTCCAGTATGCTTGCCAAAACGCGTTTCGCCGGTGTGGCTTCCTCAGTTGGCATAAGATAGTGGTGTCCTCTAAGCTCTTTAAATATTTTAAAAATTAATATTCTGTGTATAGAAATATCTGCACTATCTTGTACCTCTCTATCTTTTACAGTGAGAAAGTTAGAAGAGAGGGAAATACATTCTTATTTTATTATCATCACTTGCTCCACCTATTTTCTGTGTGTTATATGTCTTTTTATTAATAAACTAATTGTGTTAACAAGTTGCCGGAGCTCAAAAGAACACATTTTGTTAACCGGCCATTGTCAGTTTTTGATAGATATATATAATCTAGTACAATCTGTAATGTTACAGAAATCGATATCGATTTACCGGGAACAAAGTGGGCTTTAAATAGAATGGATGGTTATTCTTGGTGTAGAAATGTTTATGAAAAGGCGAGTTGTGCTTCTTTTATTAAACTCAAGACATTTTGGATGAATCATAAATTTGAGTTTACACAATTTATAATAGTTAGAAGTACAAAAGGGAAACAAAACCTTGAGAAACAACACAACACACAGTCCAATTGCTTTTTATAAACAACTTTGTAGACAGAAAGACACATAACATGATGACATGATCCTACTCAGAGATCGTTGATTTTTTTCTTAAGATAGACTGTGATATTTCTTGCATTATGTCAACACAAGGACTTTACGAACTCCCCCGCTAAATTTTACAAGCTTGTTATTTATGGTGTGAGAGTCACATTTCTAAATGTTTAGACAATTCTATTTGCAACATTAACCTGTAAAATACTAAACATCACTTACGTTAAAATTACTGGTGGTCTACCATTTTATGGAGGATTATGTGTGAAATAAATGACACATGAAATAGATGTGATATTCCCTGCTGGATCACCCTGATTGACTAAACTCCCTCAAGAGCAATTCTCCAAGTTATTCCAAATGACCCAAGATGTACATGTTGACCAAATATGTTCTCACCAAAAATATTGCAACCAAATTGAGTTCATGGTCAAATAGGACTTTTGGTAATTGAGGTGGACTGGTTTTAGAACTCCAGATCTAACATTACTGGATGTCAATATGGGTTCCTTTTGGGTCAGTTTAAGACAGAAATACGTAGGTTTCCTAGGTTATTATTCTGCCGTACAGATTTTCTGCATTTATGACTAACAAAGAATTCTAAAGTTACTGTCAACATTTTCTAACTACCCCTTATATAATGAACCATAGCATCAAAAAAAAATAAAAAAAATATATATTACATTCCATTTAATTATATATATATTTAAATGGAATGTTGTACAGAAATCTAGAATTATATTATATTAGTTTGCAATAAAAACATATCTTCTAGAATGGAAACTCATTTAAGCAGGGCCCTCAATACCCTCTGTTCCTGTCCATCCAATTTGTCTTGATACAAATTCATGTCTGTTAGTCCAGCGGTATGAATGTTGTTGGTGCTTCATAAATAAAAATAATATTTGAAATATTTGGCAAAAAAAAACATAAGAAAAGTCTGATTGGCCTGTATACTGCACCACACCCATCTAACAGAATTAAATGTGAAAATGTGTGCATCCAAAACTCTGGGCTATTAAGCAAGACAAGGCCTTCAGCATGACTCAGTTTGCAAAAAAAAAATGGCTGAACTTATGGATTTGCCTAAAAAAGTTGAAGACTGGACTAAGGACCACGTAAAGCTCTGGGCTGCACAGAGCTTAAATATTGACTTAAACGATGTGGAAATCTTATTCAAGCAAAATGTGACAGGCGAGGTTCTCCAAATATTGTCTAAAAAAGACTTAACAGATATGGGAATTACACACGGCACTGCTCTTTTAATAACCCATAAAATAAAAAAACTCATTACACCAAGTCAGAATGAAAAAAAAAGTATAAATTTGGGTTCAACAAACAAAAGAGAGATAGCAAAAACAAAACAAAAGATCCCAAGTAAAGAGGATGTGAAAGCGAAAAGCAATGACGGGGAAAATGAATCAAAAGAACCTGGGAATTTAGCTATCAAACCTTCTAAAGTCACTTGCACACCATACCCTTTTGATAGATTCAATGAAAGTAAATGTTACACACAGTTTCATTTCCTTCCACCTGAATCTGGCACAACTAATTATATTGACCCCATTCATGAGTACAAAGAGTTTACTAATACACTAAATGCAACAGAAGAAGACAGAAAAATGAAATTTTGCAATGAGGTCTTTCGGTTTGCAGCTGCATGCATGAATGTCCGAACGAATGGTACAATCCATTTTGGAGTCCGAGATAAACCACATGGGCAAATAATTGGTATAAAAATAGACAACACCGAAACCTTTGTCAAGTACATTGACCAAATGATCAGCAAGTATTTTGAGATAAAACAAGTTGGATTGGCAAAAGAATGTATTCGTTCACCAAGATTTGTCAACATATTATCTGAACAAAACACACATTCCAACCTAGTTGTCATTGAAGTTGATGTGGTCCCTAAACATGCCTATTGCAAAGATGAAATATTCTTTACATATCAACAAAATTTTAATGAAACTTGGAAAATGTGTAAAAATAAGTCTTGTTTTAAACGAGATGGAGAAAGTTCCAAAGATATACTTGCCAATGTACAAAATAATGATGCAGATTACAAAGAATTTTTGTCTTGTATGAAGGCAAGAGATGACGCTAGAAAAATGGCAGAGGAAACTCACAGTAGAAGCCACATAAAATCACAAGACGATGGTCTGAAGCTTAAAAAATTAATAACAGGCAACAGAGGTACACTGGACAACTCCTACTATAAATGGTATATTCTAGTAGCAAACAAAAGTCACCCTAGCCAAACAGAACATCTTGATTTTATGCATGAAATAAAGTGGTTTGCGGTTTTGGATTTCGACTCAGAGTCACTTACAAATGGTCTGTGTAAATTTTACAGAGATAAAAGAATAGCAAACTTACATTTTCCCAGTCATTATCAGAATAATGGAAATGAAGGACCCGAATCACTTAAACTTTTTCAACAAACCAGCTGGATATTCTGTAATGGAAGGTCAGATCTCGACACCAAGGAATACGAACCATTAAATTATAGGTCGTGGCAGAAAGAAAAAGCTGCGGAGGTCAGAAAGCTTATTTCTTTTCTTTCACAGAAGAATATACTGGAACGTGGTAAATTCCTTGTAGTTTTTCTGTTACTTTCTGCAGTTGATGACTGTGCAGATCCCATTAATGAAACATTTAGTACTTTTTACCAGGAACTTGGTGGCATAGATGACATTTTATGCATTTGTGAAAATGAACACACTTACCAAAAATGGAAAGATCTACAGGTAAAACTAGATATAGAAGATATGGAAGACAGGTGTATTTTCAACTTAGACATTAAAAAAGTAAATGGGACAATTCTAAAACTAAAATCTATGATTAAATCCTCCCATCTCTTTTTGCCATCACAAGGGTCTTCCACTATCATTCTTCAGGAAAAAGATAAAGAAGTAATGAGCTGTTTGGACATTCTTTGCGCAAATGAATGTGAAGAGACAGACTGGAGAAAAATGAAGAGGAATTTAAAAAATTCAAGACAACACAAGAGGAACACTTTTACAAAGGAGGAAAAGCTACCTGGTGGAATTTCTATTTCTCAAGTAAATCCTTCACAGGGCCATTTATCAAGAGAGACATTCACAATGCATTAAAGACATTGATAGAGGAATGTCAGAAACAAACAAGTGTAAAAATAGTTACTGTGTATCACCATCCTGGTTGTGGAGGTTCGACTTCTGCAATGCATATTCTCTGGGAATTGAAAGAAAAATTTAGATGTGCAACTTTAAAAAGAAAGACAGATAGTTTTAAAGATATAGCAAGAGACGTCACAAATCTTGCCATTCATGGTTCAAGTCCTATGGAATATTTTCCTGTTCTGCTTTTGGTAGATGATTATGAGGAGGATGAAAATATATATGTTCTGCAGAATTGCATTAGAACAGCCATTGCTGAAAAGAACATACAATTTGAAAGACCTGTGGTCACCATATTGAACTGCATGCGGTCTCAAACTCCAGTAAAAAGTTCAAAGGCAGATTGTACTTCTAGTGTAGCTCTAGAGCATAAACTGTCCCCTCAGGAACAGAGGACTTTTGAAACCAAACTAAAGGAGATTGAGCAGCATCACAAGAAACCAGAAGATTTCTACTCTTTCATGATAATGAAAAGCAATTTTGCTGACAGCTATATTAGAAATGTTGTGAGAAATCTACTAAAAGGCTTAAACAGCGCTAGCAAAGAAGCCGATCTTATCTCTTTTTTAGCTTTGTTAAACAAATATGTTAAAAATTCCACTATTTCAGCTTCTATGTGTGAAGAAATTTTAGGAATAACTGCAAAACAAACATACTGGGGAAATGAGAGCATAGAAGACAAAATGGGTACTTATTGTACAATCTTAATCCGCACTGAGGTGGAAGAATATGGCAGATATGAAGGACTGCGTATAATCCACCCTCTCATTGCAAGTCAATGCATAGAAGAGTTAAAAATGACCTATGGAATACAGCAAAGTAAAATTATGTTGACTCTTTTAAATACTCATGTTGAAGGAATCGGAAAAGAAATGTTTTTTCAGAATATGCAAAGTATGTTGGTCACAAGGCACAGAAAAGAACATGGCGATGAAACAGACACACTCTTTTCTCCATTAATTGAAGAAATACAAAAAGATGAGGGTAACGAGAGTGTTGAAACTGTTCTAAAAGAGGGATCCCTCCGATTCAACCAATATGCATTCATTTTCCAAGCCTTAGCACGGCACTACTACATTAGAGAGAAGAACTTCAACTGTGCTTCAGAATGGGCAGACAAAGCAAAAAAGATTGCACCTAATAATTCATTTGTTTTGGACACTTTGGGGCAAATACACAAAACAAAATTGAAAAGTATGATGGATGAATGTAACAAAAGACATTCTTTAACACCAAGTGAGCTGAACTCTCTTCTAGATAGCGCAGTTGCTGCCTCGGAAGCATTTAAAGACTGTCAACAGCAAACAAGAAAGACAGAGTCTGAAAGAGAAGAATCAGAATGGACAAATTCTAAACGGTACAATGTGTATAACACGGCAGGATACCTTGGACAGATAGAGGTATGTCTTTATACAATAGACATACTTTTTAGGTTACCATGGTTCAACTCAAAAAATAAGCTATCTAAAAATCACCTAATTCAGTATCTGTCTGGTAAATGGGATATTTCAGTTGACAAAGACAGTACAAACCATAAGGAAGTTTATGATATTCTCAACGAGTTTAGGTACTTTCTTATTAAAATTAAATCCCACTTACAGATGGCTTTTGATTTCTTCAATGATTACTTTGTACATCTGAAACAAAAAAACATTCATAAGGAAAGTGCAGACTTTAAAATACGTGAAAAAGTTGCTGACTACTTCAAAAAGTATCGAAAGACCTTTTGTGATCAAGATCTCACTAAACTTTTAGACTCCCAAGCAGTTCAGAAAAGCAGCCCTTCACTGCATTCTGATTGTAGGGCCGGCATCGAAGGTTACAAGGCTCACAAGTTCCCAGGAATTCTAGAATATCTTACAGATCATGGAAAAGATCGACATGAGATTGAAGTCATAGTACGAGCATATGGATATTTACTAGAAAACCGTACAGACAAATTTGTAATAAGAGACAAAGAGAACTTCATTCTTGCAAACATTGTGCTTCGTTGTGTTTATCCAAATTCTAAACAAATCTGCACAGATCCGTCTTTAAAAAAATACCTGAGAGAGATTTTAGACAAAGTTGATTTGAACCATGAACATTTAGAACCCTACTTTTTGGCACTGTTACTCTTCTGGCCTCATAACATGCATGTTTTAGATAATGATTCTAAATACCTAGAGAAATATGTTCATGCCATGAGAAAATCCTTTAGGGTGCAATATAAACATATGTGCAATGCTAAACAAGCCATTGCACATTTCTACCTGGGAAAAGGGAATGGATTAAAAAGATTAATCCACAAAGGCAAAATTGATCAGCGCTTTTCTGATGTTCCAAATTTGCATTCTCTCTGGCAGAATGGAGATATATGGAAAGAACAAGCAACAAAGGAACTCTTGCTGCGAGTAAATGGCAGAATTGAAAACAATACAATTTATGTTGAATGTGGCAACACAGAAAGAATTAAGGTTCCCGTACGACCTGCCTACCTTGGACAGTTGAGAAGTGGAAGAAGTATTGAACGAGTGTCATTTTTCCTAGGGTTTTCCATTGACGGCCTGGTAGCATATGATATAGAAAGCATGTAAGCACATTTGTGGAACCATCTGGATACTAGACCTCAATTACATTCAGGTCTCAATTACATTCATATGCTTCAAACATGAATACTCATATTCTGTATTCTATGATTAGCAATCCTACAGCCTTCGTCTTCTGTATATTCCTTATCTATACCTATAATATTTTCTATTTAAGATATCAGAGAGAACAAAGAAACAATAAGCTCTCTTCAAGTAATAACTAAGAATACATATTAATGCACAGATGCACATTTACAAATGGCTAATGGATTCACTACGGATTACGGATTCTTAACATATAAAAAAGAGTGACACAAGTCACATGCATTGCTACATGTATACAATAAACTAAATTATGTACAATCTGCTTAACAAAAAAAAATAAATCAACATTTATCCATATTTGCCAATTGCATCTGAATAAGTTGGACTTCTTAAAATAGACTATAACAAAATATGCCATTCCCAATTATGGAGGTCAGACACTCAATTTGAAAACATAATCACTAGGGCAAAACCTCCATCTCATACTTTTTATGTCCTTTACTTATATTTGGAGTTTGAACTTCTTTAAAAACAACTATTTTTGTTAAACTGCAAGAAATTGAATTAGGTTCAACGCTGACCCAGGAAAATAGTATGCTACATTCTCTTTGATCCTTTTTTTTAAAAAAAGAGCAAAACCAGGTTATCAATGAGGCGCTACTTGCAGCCACCTAATGCTGGGCTCAGACTGGCGCTCTGTGAACCCTTGCCTGGGCTAGGATTTTCATCTCTGGCATTGACAGAGTCCTCCTTGAGCCAGAAGGTAGATCAAATAATCTCCATGCTTGGCCCTTCACCTGCTCAAACACGCAAAAGCCTCAGCCTCTTTAACATACAGAACACTCAACTAACACCTAGAGGCACACACAGAACCCCTACAAAAAGCTATCAGCCATCTCCACACCTACCTTCCTCTCTTGTATACAAACTCCACAAATTGCCTCCTTCTATCTCTCCTCTTTGGTACCCCACTATACACCCACCCACCCACCCACCCTTACCGTTACCTCTTTTATAACTCATTCCTCTGGTTGACTACCTTCTGTTTACCTGATCTGATTCCTTCTAAATATTTGTATCTCCCAACCTAGGCATCTTTCATTCTTATCCCTACCTTCCCAAGCAATAATCCAATTAGTTTTGCTGAGAAAAATATATACCATATCTCAGTGTAAATTTTATTGCTATGTAACCTTTCTGTTTATTTATTCTATGTAACCTTTCTGTTCTTGTATGTTCAATAATTTACTGTAATTGTTCTTTAATCTAACACGATTTATCCTCTAAGTATTTTAATTAAGTACCGTATTTACTCAAATCTAATGCACACCTTTTTATGGAAAATAAAGTTTGCAAAATTTTAATGCGCATTAGATTCGATGGAGCATTAAATTGGGGGCAAAATTCTAAATTTTCTGGCAAATTTTATTCCGGCGAATTCACACAGGCGAATTAAAACTGGTGAATTCACACAGGCAAATTTAATTTCTGCAAATTCACATAGTCAAATTTCTTTCTTGAAAGAGGGCTTCAAAAAGAATATACTTAACATGTGACGCTAAAATTGAAACACCATCAAGGTTACTCTGGTATATGGCAATACGTATTTTCATTGTAGCACAATGTTGTACGGTAGTATCTTCTTGTATAAATGTGCATTACATTCCCCAGCAGAAACATTATTCAGCTTTCCAGGTTTCAAAAATTGAGGTGCGCATTAGATTCAATGGTGCATTAGATTTGAGTAAATATGGTATATTGCAATTCAATGACTTATTAAAATGTTATTTTTACTCTATGTAACTTGCTCGGATAAGGGTGCTATTGTTAAATACATATTAAAAGAAGGTTTTCTTTTTTTCTTTAAAAGATAGTATTTGAAGGGGAGTCGTCAGTTTTCTTACACATGTGATGCTCTATTTTCTTTAAAATGTATATTAACGATATAGGATTTTACATCACAATCCAGTTAAGTCCAGGCACAGCCATGGCACACTATGCATTGAAGGTAAAGAAACATAAACATTGTTTCTCCTCCTCTTCTCTTTATCTCTCCATGCCGGGGGTGGGCAAAAGATAGCTCTCAACATGCTTTAGAACTACAACTTCCTTGATGCTTTTACTATTCTTTTTTTTTTTTATATATCTTTTTATTTAGATAGGAGAGTCCATTCGTTAACTTTGTAAAAAGGTTTGCGTATCACATAGTAGTTCGGGACTCGCAGGTCTGCGTCAATTAAAAGTGAAACTGTGTAACGTGCAGGTTCCATGAACATTCAAGTAACATGCGAGACATGCAAGTCTCAATTTTTCTTTTTCATTTTTTACATGTCCTTATTATTATCATGCAGGGACTTGATCTTAACTTGCGGGCAGTGTCCCCAACGGCACATATTGGGACAAGAGAAAGCATAACATAGATAATCATACAGTAGGCCAGCGTTGTGGGTACACTGCGCTTTTTAAGGGTTTGTTTGAATAGTGAACTTAGCATGAAACAAGACATTTTTATTTAAGTACATTCAAGTGAAGAAGGCAGGTGTAGCCAATAGTATCATGAGTTATGTTGGTTGTAGGTATCAAAGCTAGTCTTTCCGTCGTGAGGTGAGGTGGGTTTAGTTTGAAAGTAAAGCTATTTGATGCGGAGCTAGCGAACGGAGCATGTTCGCGTACTTGGCTCAAGTCTTACTGATTGTCCCTTCGACATTGCAAAGTGCCGTGAGAAACGGTCATATGGTGTGTTGACTAAGCGAGGTGAGTTAGTCCATGTGTCAATTGACATAAAGGTGGGTAGAAGGCTAGGTCTCACAGCTTTTACTATTCTATAGGCTGTCAAGCGTTATTGGAGTTTTACTTCTACAACATCTTACTTCTACAACATATTGCTTCAGAGCTTAGAACAAAGACCGAGAGAGAGACAAGATGCAGGAGCTCAGTTTCAGGGTAGAGCAGTGATGATTTCTACATTTAACTTCACAAACACATACTTGCTAAACAGGACGGGGTAGCTTAACAATGTGAAAAATCTTGAGAATTGATGGTTCCCCTTTAAGAAATGCCTACACCTTCTGTTGATCTGTTGTAAAAAAAAATGCAATAAAGATTTCTGTCTAATCTTGTGTCTAGTAAAAACATTTTTAGGCTTAAGTGGTGGTGGTTGTGGGAGCGGATCTAGGTCAATACACTGGCTGAACGACACAGCCCTGAGCACAGTTTTTAATGACACAAGACATGGTCCTCTCTCGATGACATGAGTAGTCAACCTGGTCCCTACTGCCCACCATTGGGCGGTTTAGGATTTCCGGTGGGCGATGGTGGATTCTGCAGAAAATGCATGGTGGGTCTCAATGGCCACGGACCAAGGCCAGCAGGGGAGATCATTTCATCTCCCCTGCCGGCCCATGCAGAGCCAGCCTTGCTGTAAGCCCTCTCGGGTTTGTGAGGAAATCAAAGATACCATGGCAATGCTCCGAAACAAGGCTGTTCTCGCAGGAGGACAGGAGAGTCAGCTTGCAGCCGGAGGAGTGAACATGCCACCACTGGACTACCAGGGCTTGCAGCATTATGTCCCCCCTCACTTTTAGAAGGTAAGAAGAAGGCAAGAGGAGACATTAAGATAGATTTTCACATCTCACCCACCTACACACAGCATAGACCCTTTGCACCCTTCACACACAAACACGCACTATACCCCTTACACACACACACTGCCCCCTCACACATTCACACACAGTCTGCCCCATCATACACACTGCACCCCTCACACAGACTGCCCCTCACACACACAGACTGCCCCTCTCAGACAGACTGCCCCCCTCACACACACTGCACCCCTCACTGACACTGCACCTATCACACACACTTCCCCTTCACACACACACACAGCACTTCTCACACATTCATCACCTCTAGCACACACTGCACCACACACACACACAGTGCACCCCTCACACACACTGCCCGCTCACACACACACTGCCCCTTCACACACACTGCCCCCCACCTAGACACACGGAACCTCAGACACACACACACTGCCCTCCTCACACACATCCTGCAACCCTCACACACTGCCCCCTCACACACATACTACCACCCTTCACACACACACACGCACACAGTACCCACATCACTCACACACACAGCATCCTTCACATACAAACTCACACAAAGCACCAGTCACACACACACACATAGTAAAAAAGTTAAATAGAAAAAAGGAAAAAGAAATAGATACATTTAAGTACATATTTAAAAAAAATTGAAGGGGGTGTGGCCTGAGCAGCATGGCGACTGGAAGTGTTTTCTTTGAGCTCCAGCTTCAAGTCTTATCCTGGTTCACATTGGCTGGCCTGCTACACATTTTGGGCCACCCTGGAGGCAAGACAGGTCACTGCTGTATCACATCAGCCTGAACAGGAAACTGGGAGTGGAGTAAGTGCCTCTAGGCACTTCCCTGTCCCATACACAAGAAACCCATGTTTTAAGCCCACCTAGGCCAAAGACTACTAAGGGCAAGATCCTGGCGCATCGACCACATTCGATCCAGCGGAGGCACAACACCAGGGCCTTCTGTCTCTCCAATATGGGACAGGACTTGGACTCTCTGAGCCCCCGCGCCTGCATATCGGCTTGGGGCAGGAGGGCTGTCCCCCAGCACGCTCCCTTTGACGATTTCTTGGACTCTCCCAGCACCTACATCTTGTGCAAACCAACAGCCGGCATAGGTTGAGAAAGTTTCTCCAATGTGGCACCAAACCAGTCCACATTATGGGACTATCTCGTAACCAATTGAAGGCATAGTGTTCTCTATAGCTCACACTGTCTCTCTGAGCCTGCTCTAATATACCCCTCCTACTATAGCTACATGTCCTTTGTTATACATTGCAGTGTTGGGCTTTACATGTTAAAGTAGAAATAACTAAAGTGAATAAGAGCTTCGTGGCCACTAACAGTTTTTAATATGGTAAGTTTTCACCTGTTTTTTCATTCTCCCTTTCACTATACTTTAGGCACCCTGAAATGGGGGAATAGCAGAGAATTGCACGACTTTTCACCTGTCAAAGACAGCACTCATGTCACACTAGAGCACTAAGCAACGGTGTTTCCCACTGCTGCTCTATATGTTTAAATAGCCATATACGCCTTACTCAGCACCAGCCAGTGCCACAAATATCTCTGTTCTAGCATTTTGTGCTATAGTTTCCCCAGTACACTCTACTTTGATTGCTCATTAGTAATTATTTTGCTGACACTTTAGTGTAATCTCCACTTTACGACTAGCCATGGAAGCATAGCTTGCATATGTTGTTATTATATTAAGAAATGTGCATGTTTTCTCAAGTACTCCAACTGTTATGCATGATAATATGCTTGAGGATTGCTGTTGGGGCAACCCAAGCTTGTATGTATTGATACTATGCAACACAAAAACACACAAAAAAACGTAAAAATATAAATAAAATAAAAAATCGCACTTGTGCTATAAAATTAGTTACTGTAGCACTGGTGGGCGGTAAGGAAATTTTACCATCAACAAAGATACAGAAGTGGGCGGAAGTTATTAAAAGATTGACTACCGGGGGCGGAGCCTGACCTCGCGCGAGTATGGCAGCTTAAACCCTGAGCTCTGCCGAGGCCTAGCCCGAATCTTCAGCAATCAGCAGCACCTGAGCCCCATTACCCCCTTAAAACCCCTCTATCATCCAACTGCAATCACCCCCTCCATGGGCGGGGGTAAGAAAACCCGGCAATCCTCAGTTGCTCCAATTTTCCGGCGAACGCACGACAAGGCCCAGCCGCCCGCGCCGGAGTTATCCCCGTCGGACACGGACTCCGAAATGAGCACCCAGCCCACGCAGACGGACCAGAGGCCCCTCTTACCCGCAGGGACATGAGAGGCTTCCTGGCAGACTTTCGCAGCTCGGTGGCAGAAGAGCTGGACAAACGCCTCAACCCTATTCTGGAGAACATGGCGGACCTTACCGCCCGCACGCAGGCAGTGGAGGACAACATGGCGGAGGTGCAAAACAGCGTGCACACACACGAGGGGGCATTGCAAGACCTCCGTGACCAGCTGCGTGCCCTGGAGGATGCAAATGAGGACCTCAGCAACAGAACCCGCCGCAATAATATTAGAGTGAGGGGAATCCCAGAGACAGTCACGGCGGAGTTACTCTCAGACACCCTGCAAAATGTCTTTACCCGGCTTCTACCAGAGGCCACAGCAGCTGAGCTCCTTATGGATCGAGCGCACAGAGCACTGAGAGCTCCGTCTGCAGCAACCACCGGTTCTAGGGACGTCATAGTGCGGATGCACTTCTACCACATCAAGGAGCAACTGATGAGAGCGGCCAGGGAGACCCCCCTGGAGGTGGAGGGAGTGCCGATCCAATTCTATCAGGATCTGACACCAGCCACCCTCAGGAGAAGGCGAGATCTTCGGCCACTAACACAGCATCTCACGCAGCATGGCCTCCGGTATGCCTGGGGCCACCCTTTTAAGCTTATTGTCCGGAGGGACAACAAATTTCTCACCTTAACCAGGCCAGACGAATCCGCAGTCCTCCTTGACCAACTGGGTCTCCCTCCGCTACCAGAACCACCTCGCAGCATGCAGGCCCCTTCCACCCTACAGGCCGCCGCCAGCAGCAAGACAACTGGTGACCGTGACCGCCGACATCAGCAAGCAGGGCATCGGCGGTCACGGGCCTCGCATACGTAGAGCACGGACGACGGCACCCTCCGCTCACGACCTCCACGAAGCTGGGAAGCACCACGACCACAGACACCGCGGCAGGACTGCAGCTTGGGTGGCTAGCCGGCACGCACGTCCCCCCAGTCCTCCGTCCGGACAACGATCTCTAGCGACCCCGTGCCGGCAACCCTGCACACCGACAGAGAGCACCTGGACTGCCCCCATCGATGGCCGCACCATGCACCCACCCACAGAACTGGCGTGCCCCCTCCGGCCGAGACCAAGGGCACCCTGAAGCCTCGGCCCCTCACAGGTACCGGGGGGGGGGGGCTGCCCACTGAAAGACTCGCAGGGCTACGCTCCAAGGCAGGCACAGAGGGGTGCCCGGGATCAGCATTTTACTGGGCCAAGCACGGGGGGGGGGAGGAGGGGGGCAGGTAATGGACTATGAACACTGGACTTGTGGGGGGGGGGATAGGGATGGGAGGGGGGAGGGCGACGGGCTGCCACGGGGTGACTAGTGGGGGACCGCTGTCCCATAGGACCCATGACGGACGGACAGCTTAGGTTTGTGAGGAACTCCTACAAGACCCAAGACGACCAGGGGGTTTTGATTTCCTTTTTTTTTTCTCCCTCTCTCTCTCTCTCCTTCCAACGGGTGGCACTGCAGGGCGTCGGAACTGGGGACCAAACCACGGGGGCGGCCACCTGGGGGGCTGGAGGACCGCTGATCTCGAGCACTGCTGTAGGTCCTCAGACGAGACACATGGAGAGGGTGGGGCTATGAGATCGGTAATGGGCGGATCCTGGAGGGCTGACGCGACTCCCCTCGCCCCTGAAAAGACATGGACCAACCCAATCCCCCGGACTGGTAATAAGGCCAGGCCACTGTCTTAGTCAATTCCCTTTTATTTCACAGCGCTTCACGATGCCTGAACCACCACGACCACTGACCTAGAGACGCTTATATACAAGGGGGCCCGGACAAAGGATGACTCACGGACCTGACAGGCACTCTGCGACAGATGGGGGAGTTCATAGGCTCCGCACAGATGTACCCCCTTCGCTGCCAATGAATGTGACTATAACCCACATAGGAGGCTTCGTACTAGATGGAGGCAGTGACATCGTCACATCCACCCTTCTCACCTGCATCTCCACGACCTAGACTCACGTTAGCGGAGGGACGCCACGTTTTCTCTAACCGGTCTGCACAACCGTAGAATAGCTTAGTTTCCGTTTTGCTGCACGTTAGAATTTCACAGAGTTTACAACGGCCATAGGGCTGAACCTGATAGAACACAACTAGAGACTTCACGCCAGATACGCAAGGGGACTAAACCCCCACTACGGGGGCGTCCCAGAACCCAGGTCCCCTGACACAGAGACCTGTTCCCTTTTCCCACCCCTCGACCCT